TTAAATGCTCTTCCTCAGCACCCAAAAAGCAGCAGTTGGTGGTTTCAGAAGGCACAGCAGGCAGGAGAGTGTAGAGAGCTCATCTCTGTGTGTGGCCATGGGCTGTGCCTTGCCCTGCTTTCCCATGGGAACTGCCAAGCCAAGCCATGCCAGGTATCTTCCCAATCTTCCCAGATGTTTTGTATTCGACCTCCCAGCTTTATTTTATGTGTTTGTACCTCTAAGAGACACCAGAAGTCTAAATCCATGGAAGCATAAAAATAAATGTAATCCATTATATTAAAACAGATTTGAGATGCAAGCCCAGGGGTTCTCCAGAGCACCCACAAAGACCTCCAAGATCATTGAGTCCAACCTTTGATCAACCCTAACCCTGACAAAGAGAGATGTGAGGATGTCATGTCAGTGATCACAGAAAACACCTCTTTCATGTGCAGTTGGTATGCAGAAAAAAATCCAACCCCTGCTGCTCCACACGTGATTTTTGATACCAAAAGAGCTGAACCCTTCTAAAGCACATTTTGGCCAAGCTTTAAGGATTTTTCAGTAAATTTGCATGAAGATATTACGCAGCTGCTATAAACACTTCTCTTTTTCCCGTATGTTTATCCTGTGCTACACTACAGACACAAGGGCAAATACATCCACATTCTCTTGACTCAATTCTTCATCTTCCAAAAGATGGCAAAAGTGATTGGCAATAATTTCATCACTGTTTATTGTGTGTTTGTTCTGCACCATTAGGTGCTCTGTCCCTTATAAATCCTGCACTGATGGTCTTGAATCATCAGGAGAGGTTTGTATAAAGGCAGCAAAGATGTATTTTCAGCTGTTTGTGATACATCCCTATGCAGGAACCTAATTATTAATGGTGGTAACACACCACCAACAAGACAACACTCTAAGAGAGCTGTTTATACTTTGCATAGAGGGGAGAAAAGATAATCCACGTTCAAAATAGTGGTCATTGCACATTCCTGACAGTAGTTTCCCTAAATTTTCCCAGCTGCTCCCAGTGGAGTGTCAGGTGTGTGACTGACGTGTTACACCATCACAGGACTGTAATTCATGGGTGTTGCACAACAAATCTGAGGCATGTTTGAGCCTGGGACCACACACACAGAGAGAGGTTTGAGAGTGACTTGTCTTCTGCTCACCTCTCCCTCTCTGGAGAGACACAGAGGCAGAAATGTCTCAAGAAACAAGAAAAATGTTTCAACACCCTTGAAAACTGCCCTGGGGGGATACTGGTGTGGGTTTTGCTGGACCACAAACAGGGAAAACAGTGTTACTAACACTGCTCCACCAGGCATGGCTGCTCTCAGACAGGGATTTACAGCAAAGGAACACATGGAGAACCATGGGACATGTCTTCCTCTCCACAGCCAGTGCCCACCCCTGCTGTGTTAGATGAAGTTTGCCATGTGGCTGTGACCTGGGGGACCAGTCAAGTCTTCCCTGATCTTTCCAAGGCCCTTTGCTCAATCCAGACCCTGTGCAGGCTGCATCCTTCCAGTCCTCCTTTCTCTGCCACAGTTTCTCATCTGCACAACAACAGCCAGAATGTTTCCTCTACCTGGACTTTAAAACTTGCCTTTTATTTTGTGTAGTATTTGGATTTAGAACTGAATGCTGGTATTGTTTCAAACGTCTCCTAACTGCTCTTTATGCAACTTTTGCAGTGGGAAATCTGAACACGTGTCTGTGTTGATGCAGCAAAGACCATCCACCACAGCAACACCCATAGCCAGGCAGAACAGCCACGATGCACTGCTGGTCTGTGTCACCAGCCCCAAAGGGCAGCAAAATACATCAACATTCCTTTGGGAATGCTGTCAAACCATGGAAAACCTGTTCCTACCATCCCTTCCAACAGGCACAAACAGAAATTTGCTCTCACAGAGATTCTCACCTGTGGAAATAGCTGAGACTACACATCCCCCTGCCCTGTGTGGGAAGCAGGGAGACATGAGCATCCTCTAATCCTGGAATCAATCAGCTTGGAAAAGACCTCCAAAATCATCCAGTCCAACCTTCAACCAAATACCACCAACCCTAACCCCAATGAAGAGAGACATGAGAATGTCATGTCACCTCTACAGACACACACACACACAAACCCCCAGCTCAGGCTGCACACATGATTTTTGACACCAGAAGAGCACATTTTGGCCAAGTTTTAAAGACTTTTCAACAAATTTGCACGAACAGCCACCTCTAAAATTCACAAAAGGTAGTAAAATTTAAAATGGCCACTTGACCTCTGCCCCTTGCCAGAGGGAGATTTTTAACAAAAATAGCTGCTATGTGAAATTTTTTCTACAATTCAGCAAAGGAGAATGGATGGATAAAAAAGTACCCTCCAAAGTGTGGTTATAAAATTCAGGTTGATGTGCAACCAGTGCTTGTGGGATTCTCCAAGGATTAGGAACTGGCCACATGGGCAGGGTTCAGGGGACATAAGGGGACTTGCCTGGAGAGACTTAATGCTCCTGGTGGGATTCTCTGTGGAGTGAGAAAGGAAATGCTTGTGCCAAGGACCACTCCAGTCCGTCCCTGGCAGCAGCTGCCAGTCTGACATTCCAACCTCTTGGCACTGGGGACATTTTACTGCCTCCAGCACCCTCCTGTCCATGAGAGCCATGAACCCTGAGCACTAAACTGTTCCTGTGTCCCATCTCTGTGCAAATTTTCAAATATAAACCACCATAATCTTTGCCACAAAACAAAGCTGACGAAAGAAAACCAGCTCATTCCTGATCTCCCAAGTGCCACCACCAAAAAGCCAAAAGGGCACTTAATACCAACTTCACTGAAGCTTTTGATAACACCTGGAACCACTGCCTTTTTACTTCACTTCCATTTGGGTCCCTTCAGGGTGCTCACAAGAGGATATCCCACCACGGGAAGCATCTTAACAGCATCAAGGACTGCAGAGGGAAACATCCACACCCATATCCAGGGCACCACTGCTGGCATCAGCACAAGCACAGCTCCAGGGCCTGCAGAGCACCACGAGCACTCCATGACTATTTATACCTCTCAACCCCATTGTGCTGAAAGCTTTTAAGTAATTAGTTTCCCTCATTAGCAGATGCAGCGCCCGGGGAAGGGCAAGCAGGTGCTCCCCAGCCCCATCCTGGATTACAGGGCAGCAGGACACGGCCTGGGAGGGGGAGAGCTCAGAAATGCTGAGCTGGGCTGATAAAACGGGCAACACAACCAGCACATTTACATTAAAATGGGTTATTTCCACGGCAGAACTGCAGGTGTTATTTTGGCGAGACCACAAACCGTAACAGCAGTAAAAATATTCACAGGGCATTACCACAAACCCCATGTATTGAAATCAGATGGACAGTATTTATCAACATCACCTTCAAGAGATACTTAAGAGATATCAGGTGCCACAGTGTTTGGTTTTTTTTTTTGTTAAAGTTGCAAAAAAAACCCTAAAAAAAAGCAAAGTTCATATATATATCTCATGGAACCAAAAAGTGATTTGCAAAAACGTGGTCAACAGGGTGAGCAGTGCTACTCCACAGCTCTAATAAAATATATGGGGTTTGCACCTTCTCCCTGACACATCTAATCCATTATCCCATTTTTCTCTCTCATCCTTTCAGAGGCAAACCGGACATTTGGTAAAGTCTAATTTAATATTATCACTAATGCATTCAAACACATCGCTAAAAGCCGCGCTGCTAAAAATTGCACTGCAGACAAAACCAGGTAAAAACGCTGTTATCTCCCTGGAAAAGCTGGGCCTTGTGCTGCAGCACCTACTGATGGGAGGCTATTCAGAGCAACAGGATTACTTTCCCGAATAAGGATTACTCCCATGATTAAGGAGTGCAGGATTACACCCATTGTTTGCATATCTCCTGTTGTTTACATACCCCTATTTTCACCTCTTGGATTGTTTGTGGGGGTTTTTTTCCCTTTAAAACCAAGGGCATTTAGTTACTGTCAGCACTAGATATCATTATGCTGTACTTTTATCCCTTCAAAATTTTGGCTGGTTTTTGGATGCCAAATAAAATGCCTCTGTGATCAAAACAAAGAAAATAAAGCAGAAGCAGCAGAATCTAGACTATGCAATTAAAAACAAATAAAAAAGAGAGAGAGCCTTGTTATCCACAATCAAGACTCATTCATGATTCACTTCACGTTCATGCTCCTACCCATGGCCTCTGCTCTGGGGAGCTGATTGTTTTTATATCAATTTTCTTAATTGTGCCAAGTACTGAGTTACCTGAGAGCTCCCAGGCACTGCTGACAATATCACTGCTGAAAAATAACAGAACTCAGACCACTGAAACAAATAATGCAGGTAGGTTTGCTGATAATGATTAATAAAGCAAAAGACTTTGGAGTTTTTCACTTTATAAAGAAGTGGTGAAGCTTCCTTCAGTTCATCACTGCCATACCCTTTACATACAAAATATTCCTCCTTCCTATCCTTAAGAAAACCATGTTACCAAAGTTTTTCCACCATTTCATGACACAACAGAACATTTAATTCAGGGTAAGGATTTAATGCAGGTCTCATTTCCTGTTCCCAACCCAGTCAGAAATGTATTTTAACTGAATAAAGAGCAACAATGCAAGTGACACTTCCAACACGGAACTAACACTTTTTATGGGAAATAAAACTCCTTTCGGATTCTTGCACGTGACACTGAATTACATTAGTCTCAGCTTGGAAAAGTCAGACTTGGAACATTAATATATTCTGTTTTAGTAGCATGCTACAGGGATTTGAAAATTTAATTAGTTCAAGATAGTTTAGGAAGGCTTGATCATAACTTTTGTGTCAGCTCTATAAGTACTGCTTACATACTTTCTAGAGTTAAAAATAAAGGTATTTCCTGCCTCTTTTAGGCTTCCTTAAGTCACTTTAAAATCAGAAAGAATGCAGACTGTGTTTGGAAAGACGTGTGAAAAGAGAAAAGACTTTACAGCAGGCTCAGAAAACATCAGCAGTTGCCCCAACTCACCGAAACAAGCAGTCTTCTCCCAAGAAGCGAAGTTTATGGTCAGGTACATCTGAGTTACAAAGGACCGCGTTTCCCGGGTCGTTTTTGCGCAGGGCTTAACCTGGAAATCCAGGCGGGCGTGTCGGGCACGGCGGGGTCGCGGAGCTGCTCCCTCTCCCGAAGGCATCCCGGGCTCTCCAGGGACACGGGATGGGGACAGCCACCACTTGTTGCAGCGGTGACAGGGAAAGCCAGGACGTGCCAGCTCGGGCATGAATAATTCACCCTCCCACCTCCCGCATCATCGCCCTGCTCCGGCAGCTCCAATGGAGCAATTCATTCCAGCCTTTTGTCTCCGGGAAAAAAAAACCCAAACCAAACCAAAACAACTCGCTGGATTAACAAGGGTTATCTGCGATGATAAAAACCCGGGCCTGCTGATTTATTTAGTCTGATAGGGGGGGAGAATTTGTATCCCTAAACGCACGGAATGCAAATTCAGTGGTGCCTCCTCAACCTGTTTGGCTGCAGCAACAATATCTGCCTAAGGCACATGAATGTTTCATTTTCTTCACTTAAATATTGAACTGGGCTCCTCTGTTTCCAAGTGCTTCCCCAGCAAAGTTAAGAGGAGAGCTCCAAGTGCACACATATTTCTGGAATGACCTCTTGGGCTTTTAAATAACTAACACCTGGCTGCCAAAATGTTCCTATTCTGAGTACAAGACATGGAGGAAAAAAACCTACAATGAAAGCCATCAAATTCATAATTCACTTTAAAAAAACAACCATACAGAGGAGGGTTATTTTTAAAAAGTTTTGAAGGTGATATTTTAATTTTTATTGCAAGTATTTTAAATAATCAGCAGGAGCACTATTATTTTCCTCAGCATTTGTCTGCATAGCTACTATAACCGAAAATAATAACAATAAAATAAACTTCCTTCTGATTAGTTGATCACGAAACTAATAATTGAACACAATGAAGGATTTTTAATCAGTTACCTATGTAGCTATATAATGCATTATAAACAAAGATTTAGATAATTTTATCTGATACTGCTATTAATACAAAATATTGTATTTTGATCCTCATATTCTAAACAAAATTGTAGGAAGGAGTTGTTTGAAAGGAAAAATAGTCTTAAAAATATGTGATTCAAGCTGGTTTGCTGTCAGAGGAGTTATTGAGAGTTAACTTGATTACAATGCACCAAGGGCTTTACAAGGAGAAAATACCTCAGACAGAAGTACTTTTGAGGTACATAGTTTTTTGGAGACACTGATTACCTACTACAAAAATGTCCTGAGTACACCAGTGACCTCTACATTTCTGAGATACCTTTCTAGAAAACATGCCTTTGCCAAACAAACAGCAAAATAAAGGACTGGGCTCAGAACTGAAGATACAGAGAACTTAAGGACAAATACCTTTAAATCCCTTCAGCATCGTGTTGTGTTCACGAGGTTCATTGAAGTCTCCGGCACGTACCTTCCTATCAGCTCCATGGAGTGATTTTGGTAACCTCTAAATCAAAAAAAAAAATTTGCCCTGATTTGAAGATTTCACCCAGAGAACCATTACAGTGTGATGCAAATGAGGCTGATGAATGTTTCATGGCAGACTTTAAAATGTTTGCTGCTGAGCCTCTCTAGAACAACCCAGGTGGATGCGCTTTCCTCCCACCTTTTTCTCATTATTCCAGTCAAGACAAGAGAGAAAAACAACTTGGGGAACAAGGACATGAAATAATTTGATTTTTGCCTGAGAATTTATAAGTAAAAGTTATTTCTGCCTCTGATATTCTGACTCTAGGCTGGTTCAGACTGAGAAAAACACAAGTTTAATTGGTGTGTGATGTGGACAAGACTGAGTGACTTTTAAGACTTTGATCACCAGCTTAAAACTGCAGCAGGGACAGAAGGGTTTGTGATTATCTGCCTGATTTTGGCACAAAGCAGGATCTGCTGTTTCCTCCAGATTGCAGGTGCAGTAGGGTTTCGAGGCGGTGATTACAGAGATCACTGCTGAGGTCACCCCCTCCTATGGTGGGCTTGGAACAACGGCCAACAAATGTGTTTTCACCTGCACTAAACGTTGGAAACGTCCTTTAGGAGATGTGCAGCTTTAAAGGAAAGGTTATGCTGAAAGGGAGGAGATATCCAGGCAGATATTGGCCAGCTCAGCCTTTGGAAACATTTCCCGGCAGGATGCACCGAGATGGAATGTGCTCCTCGCTCTGTCCATATAATGATATCTCTGGCTGCAGCTGGGAAGGGGATTATGCAGGTCAATGTGAGCAGAACAACTTCAGCTGGGAAGTTGGCATGTCCTGCAGCTCCTCCAGGGGTCTCCTGGTGGATGGTGAACAGGAACGAGCGCAGGAGGTACAGAGAAGGATGGGGAATAGCTGGCTAGTGGTGCTACGAGAGTTCTGCCTGCGAAAAAGAATTGATTGACACGGTTGTAGCTCAGAGTCCCTATTCAGACAATGTCACATATGCAAGTCAGTGACAAATTATGCTTGACTGTGCTTGAAAGCTACAGAAATGTTGAGTAGCACGAGCAGGAAGATGGGGCTCCTATCCATTGCCATCAAAATATCATCTTTTAGTGCTGTTGACAGTTTAATAGCTACTTCTGTATGTTGGAGAGCATTGTGAAGTACTGCCACTATATTATTAACCTAGGCTGCAGCTTTCCTGCAAATGCAGAGCACAAAACCACACAAATGGAGCTTCTGAAATAGTTCAGGATTAAAGGTGTGCTGTTCACAACATGAACAGGATCTCTCTAATTGCATTTCAGAAGGACTCAACAACACCCTAACCCCTGATTACTTTATCACGTATTTTCTGAGATCATAAAATCATTAAGGTTGGGAAAGACATCTAAAACCATTGAGTCCAATCATCAAGCCAGCACTGCCAGTCCCTCCACTAAACCATGTCCCTTTAAGCACCACATCTACACAGGTTTTTTGAACCTTCCAGGGACAAATTCATTCTATTCCATTTAAAACATCCAGAGCGATGAAATTCCATTCAAATCAAGCATTTTTAATTCATCCCTTTTTCCTCCAGGCAGCTGAGATGGGATGTGAATACAGGGCAGCTATGCAGCCTCCTGCTGACCTGCAGTGCTCCAGTGGTGACTCTCAGAGCTCCATCCTTCAGTAAATCTCCAACGCTCATAAAAAAATGCCTTTGTGCACAGTTGCATCCATGTGTGTAATTGCTTGAAATCATTCCTGGGATATCCTAAGCTGCACCATACCTTGGGAATGGTTTGCACAGCCCCAGCCTGTCACAGTTCAAAGCAGACGTGTGTGATACCACAGAGCTTCAGCATATCGTGGAGCTGGGGAGGGACAGGGTGACTGTGTGACTATGGAAAAGGTTTGGGAATCAGGAGATTGGAGTGTGACTGTCTATTGATACCTTTAAATTAGCTATCACTGTAGTATCTGGTTTCTGTCAGGGTACTGCAGAAAATCAGTGAGATGCATCTCGGAGGTTGGTGAATCGATTCCCTGCTCTGCCCAGGGGCTGACCCTTCCCTGTTGGCTGTCTCTCAGCTTGTCACCTCAGTTATTTGGCTTTTCTTTCTTCTTGTTCCTTGACACCATTGGCAGGCCATGTGTTCCCTGCTGAGAGACCTGTCTGCAGCTGCCACCTCCCCGAGGTGGCTGAGCTGGCTTTGGGATGAGACTCCCATCATTTGCCCTCTGTGCTCAGCACTCAGGGGGGTGGTGGAGTCCCCATCCCTGGAGGTGTTCAAGGAATGACTGGATGTGGCACTCAGTGCTCTGGGCTGGGTGACACGGTGGGGATCAGACACAGGTTGGATTTGATGGTCTTGGAGGTCTTTTCCAACCTTTATGGTTCTGTGGTTCTGAGACACCAAATTTTGGGTTTTCTAGCACATGGCAGCAGGAGGGACAATGTTTCAGGAGGACCCAGGATAACACAGCCCTGAGAGCTGAGGCAATGGGGTGGCAGACTTGCCAAAGTCAGGGTTACACATTCTGCTATCTCATTATTCCCCATCTGTTTTTTTTGTTTTTTTTTTTTTTTTTGAAGTACCAGAAAAAAACAAAGCATTACAAAAACATCAAGCTGTGAAAAGAGAAGTCAAAAGCCAGGAAATTCCAAGTTAATGCTGACTCCTTAACTCACATAATTAACTCAGAGCCATGCCTGAAGTCTGGGCAGCAGCCTGAGCTCAGCTCTTGCTGGTGTGTGTAACCAGCTGAGGATTCACACATCTGAGGGGAGCAGGGCTGAATTAAGAGACTGGGTGCCACTGAAATGAGGAAAAAGAGGGGCAATCAAGAGGCAGATTTCTGAGAAATTAGCCGGGGGAAGGGAGGTGAGAGAAGAGAGAAGCTCATTCTGGAGAAGAAAAAAGAAAAATTAAGGGCACTGACAAATGAGGAGTCCAAGAGTGATGACTTGAGTTAAAAGGTGGGCAGGGAAAGACAGGTACCCAGACAGGGAGTGTAGGGAATAATCGTGGAAAAGAAAAGATGACAGGGAATGACAGGAGAGAGAGTTGGATTGGGCTCTGCTATCGATCTGGCACAAGGATGGGGACTGCAGTGGAAATGGAAGGAGAACAATGGTCTCTCAGAGAGGAAGAAACGCAATTAGGACCAGGAGAGACTGGAGAAGGAAAATCAAGAGGGAAAAAATAAGCTCCTGTCTGGTGGCAGGGGACAGAAGAGACAGGGCACATTAGACTTGCTCCTCTTTTGTAGGCAGAGCAGGATTCCAGTCTCCATTCCCCTCCCTGCCCAAGGCACGCTGCATATTGATCGTGCTGGCTGAGTCCTGCCCTTAATTCCTGCTTATTATTTCAGAAATTCAAATTACACCCAAGAAATAGAGACTGAAACAATCATTAAGGCTGCAAATGAAATACCCCAGAGTAAGAAAATTCTAAGGGAACTGAGGGGAAAGGTTTTTGCTAAACCTGTGATACAAATATATATATATCATATATATATGTATTGCTCTTCTCTTCAAGATCTTAAAGCATTTTGGCTCTTTGAAAATACACACAGCTGGATACTTACATTTAATTAAATAGTTTTTAAGATAATGACTACAGCAGCTTCAGTGTAATTCACAGTTAAAAGCAATCAAACCCAAAATTCAAAACTGCTCTTACTCAAATATCTACCATCAGTAACAGCCTCTATAGTTCTTGATGAAATGGGA